TACCAAGCTGTCGTTTCAAGATTTCAGAGAGCAAATCTTCACATGATGTTGGAATCGCTGCCGCGGAGGATTGAGCTTGATTATTTTCGACAGGTCTTGCTAATGGTGCTACGCTACTTCCTCCTTCCTCTGAATTATTCGAATCGTGCGGGAATGTGGCGTTGTTGAATACGTCTACTTGAAAAATCTGGTCCTCAAATTGAATCAGACCTGAATGCAGTGCAATATTTATTTATTAAATGTGTATTATTTTGTATTCATTAATTATTTACTTGTGGACTTTTACTAAACTGGACTTACTTGATGATGGATGATTGATTCCCTTAATGGTTAAGACATTATCCGCCGGATTAGATAAGGTCTCGTTCATGCATTGAAAATTGTCAGTGCTTATAATAAGTGGACTTGAGTGTGCAGCCGCGTTTGCACTTGAAAGTGACGTCGTTTCAGTATCCGTTGTATCAAGGTCAGATGTTTCCCTTGCGGCCTTCTCCAGATTTCTGGCTTCGTTGTAATTATCTAGGGGACATATAATTTAATTGAGTATAAAATATTTAGAATTATATAATAATTGGTTACCTGTAGCTTTCCAGAATTTCACTTCCAGCTTTGGCCATTTGCTAGTGGGAACTTCGTGCTTTTTGATTTTTGCTGTTGGATTAGAGTTCGGTCCGGGTGGCCAGTGGCAGTATTTTTTGTCGTCACTCAACCAATTTGACGACACAACTTGTACGGAATTATCAGTTTTGAATTTGACGACGGAGAACATGTCTGGTCTTCTCTGCTGCTACGATGAAACTAAAATACCCGACGAAAAGTTTTCCTTGCGTCGCACTTCACTTAGTGATTCATATTATCCGCGTTTTACCTTTCATTTTAACGAGAGCAGCTTTTAGAGGGGACTAATGTATATTTTACACACTCAATTTACTGCGGAGAAAACTTGGGAGTTTTATGTACATTATACCTGTGTAAATATGTTGCCTCCAACACACGCGTGAAAATAAAATTGTCACGCAACTTAAACGTGTGTAATATTCTCAAAATTTATGCATATTTTTTTTACTCTCGTTTTACACGACTACTAACAAAATATTCACGAAATATGAAGGTCTGTTCTCTACGGGTAACGCTCGACTTTGTTGCAGCAGCCTCTTCTGCTTCCTTCGTCGAGTGGGATGAGTTATGGGCGGGAATGGAAATGAGACGGCTTTCGGGCACAGATCACTTTTTTTCGTGAAGAGGAGAAAATTTGTGTCCACTTTCTCCCAATTCGATTTCCCTCTTCTTATTTTGTGCGAAGACGTTATTGAATTGAAGGAACTCTTAATAATTCGGTGACTAATTTTGAGTTTCTGGGTAAATGCATGCTATTTAAGATTCTTAGCAGTATTGTCTTTTCTTTTATTATAAAAGATTATGCTAAAACCAGCTTCACTATCAAAGTTATTTCGAAATGTTTCATTGCTTGTGTCATCTCGTAATTACAATCTCTTAGTCTCAATTAAAAATACTTAATCCAATCACCACAATGACGAAATTTTTTGTCAATGTTTGAAACATTAAACTCGAGAGCATAAAATGCATCATTACTTAAGCTTGACGAATACAATTTGTAGTACTGAATGTAACCAAATTGTTGACGGTGTCGCTTCAACCCGGCTGACGATGAGTTCTCGCATTGCTTAGCGTGTTGAGGACAAGCCGGAGAAAGTCGCTTTCTCTCAGTTGCAGAGAACTGCGAGCGAGATGGATAACGAATTATCCGATTTTTCTTCTGTAAATTGGGCCGAATCGTGCGTGGCATTCCATTACGCATTAGTCTGGCCCACTAAAAGACCATTCCTTCCTTTCTGGCCTTCTCCTCCGTTCGGTTACAGCTTTCACTGTGCGAGTCAGATTAAAATGCCCTGATCTTAAACTCGAAAAACGTATGTTCAGAACCTAAAAAGTGGGAATGTCATAATGCCACGAGCACTGGCAATAAGTTGGCTGTAAAACGAGAATCGTATAAAAGGCAGATCTTTTCGCGTGGAGCCAGAATAGGAAATCTTTTGGAGGCGAGTTGGGGGCAAGGGCACAGTTGTTGGCAACACGGCGTATTTATCGCTTTCTCTGCAGACCAACAAATGGCACAATTTCGTATTTCTGATTTCGCATCGTGATTATCCGTCCTTTCAGTCAACAGCAGGGTGACGGGTTTTCAATATTCTTCCTTAAATTGGAATAATGGGAACAAATGATGTAAAAACAAAAAGCGGAAAACTTGTATTAAGTTGGGAAAGTTTTGTAAAGTGATATAAATTTTTTTTAATTAGAAAATTTGGAAATAATACATTTTTCACCAATTCTCAAAAATTGTTAAAATAGGGAAACGAGAAAACTAGGAAAATTCGAACGTCTGACAAATTCACCCTATACATGCTGACCTCCCATATTAAAGTCGCAAATGGGAAATTTCTAATTTCACATTGATCACGGAATTTTGCTTTCGTCACTAAATAAGTACGTCGCGGAAACCCTGGAACATCTTCGAAAAGACATTTTTGGAATTAAATTCGATAACTAGCTCGATTGAGAGAGACGAAAATGTTGGAATTATTCCATTTTCATTCCAAATTCCTCCCCTAATTTCCCTTCTCTCCGTCATCCTCGTTTTCCAACCGACTTCTGATTCACTCCAACTCTCAATCCTACCAATGTTCATCAACTCATTGAAAAAAATCACGCTTAATTGATCAACGCATTCTTTAAATTTTATCTTTCTCGCTTATTTTGAACGGAGTTTTTAAATACAAGTATTTTGCCATTTTTAGATTTTACGAATAAATTCCTTTCCTTTTTTGGCGGAATATTTTTTTCGTGTAAGAACCGGAATTTGCTGATGTTGGCAGAAATTTCCGTGAATCTAATTAGCCACGTATCGATTGGGGGGCGAGTGGGCTGAGAGAATGTCATGTCTTTATCCCATTAGCACAACGCCACGTTCCCTTCGCCTGCCCGTCCTCGTCTCGCGTGTTCTCCTCTTGGCCAGAGATGACATTCCTCCCGGGAGAAAAAAATCTTGCCCCGTGTCACTCTTGTAATTTTCGGAGTGGAAGCACAAATTTGGTCTGGCTTGTGAAATGACGAGATGTTGCGAGAGATGTCGGATTAGCAGAAAGTTGCCCAACACAGAATTCCGGCAAATTCCTCAATTTATTACAATGAAAAATATTTGCAGGATACCGACTGGGCAAGCTACGTATTTATTTTGCTTACGTCTATTTTGTGTTACAACTACAAAAGTTAGAAACGAAAATAATTCATTAACAGAATACATAAGGGACTGCTCTCTACAATTCAGCCTAAATTCAGTCTTAACTTTAATAATTATAAATTTTGATTGAAGTTTTGGTACCTAAAAATTGTTGTTGGTAGTTTAAAAGACGAAAATATTTTTGTAATTTTTCAAGAGCATAGGATTTACGCCAGAAATCAATATCTTCAATTTTGAAAAATTTAAAGTTAGAATAGATAATTAGTGAGACTATAAAAAGTTAAACAACAACAGCACTAGAATTACATAGTTAAAAAATTGGGATTTATATTTTAAAAGAAATAAATTATTTTTGTAACTTTTCAAAACTGTTCTGCACTTTGTACACCATGAAGGAATATTTTTGATCTGGAAAAATTTAAAATTATAATAGGTGATTCCTGGTCGATCAAAAGAATTATATAAGCAAAGTTTAAACAAAAAAAAAACAGGAATAAAACCTGGAGGACAAGAATTACACAAGTCGATCGTTATGGATTTGAAGTTAACCATTGCCGGAGGAGTTGTAAACTTAAAGTCATCATTTCTCTCTTATCTTTTTTTATTTGCTCCCATTTTTTATCCCGTTTGATCAGATTGGCTCCTTCCCCTCCTCCCCAGTCAAGCCTCCTTTCACTCACTCTCGACTTTCTCTCAAATAGAGCTGCCCCACTTGAAGAGGTGAATTCGCAGGAACGATTTCATTACTTGAGACGATGAACTCAATCACGTTTCTTCCAGGTTTTATTCCGACCTCGACTCCTGGCTGGCGTCATGTTCCACCTGAGAGCGAAATGTGACGGGAAAAAGTCGAAAATATGGACTTTCTCCCCCGGCGGATTTTTTATTGTGGGCGACGTGTCGTTAAAATTCGTCATATTATCTCAAACACAAATTGGCCATTAAATTTGACAATGAGAAAGAAGAGAAGATTTAAAATTAGGGATCCCGCACGTTGCCAGGGATTTTAAAATAGCAAAGCTTGAAAAAGCCTGTTTTTACCTAAGTACCATAAAACAGGGTTTTATGCGATTTAATTAGAAATCAAGTGCAAATTCCTGAATCAAAATATCAAATTTGATAAAAATAAAAGCGTATTTTAACAAAATTTGTATTCCTCAGACATAAAAGGAAACAATTATTAAAACATCTTTCTGAGACCAATCGTTTCCACATTTTAGGACAAAAACGCGTAGTTAGGAACCCTGGAGGAGGATCGGTTATACGTAAGTTTGTTCGTAACGATTCTCTCGGGGAGAAGGGAGATTACGGCTTTTCACCCTTATGCAAAGTGGTAGGGGACATGTGGAGATGATATTTTTTAAATTATGCAATTTATTTATGGGAAACAGCCATTGTGCAAACGATGTAATCCGTCTAAGGCATTTATATTTATATCTTCCACAAGTACATCTTTATTTTCGTTGGGTTTCTCACCCTACGAATTTTGTAATATCGCTAAATACACTATTAACCAATAAGTATCAACCAACCTACTTAACATCGTTCGTTATAACAAAATATAAAATCCAATTGGACTCAAAGTCTTCGTCATCGATTTCATCTTTGAAAAATCTAGAAAGTTTACAAATAATGGCTATCATAATGAATGATTATTTACACCCGTAAATATTTTTCTAATTTGAAATCGGGCAATATTTTTTGTAATTTTCTAGCTAATTGTTTCTGTGTAACTTTGCAGAGACCTGAATTTGGGTGGGAATCCGATAAAGCGGCTGAAAAACGGTGCATTTCGCTTCCTTCCGCAGCTGGTGAAGCTTGACCTGAGTCGCTGCCAAGTGTCGGACGTGGAGGACCAGGCCTTCGCACACCTCGCAATCCTCGAGACCCTTAAACTCAACTCCAATCTACTTCCCATCCTCTCCAACTACACGGTCAGTTCATAAATGTTTTACTACTCAGCTTCGTAAACTATGTTACTTCTGTAAAAAAACTTCACGGTTGCAAAGTTTACACAGTTGCGTACAATTCAAATCCACTCGTTATTTCAACTTTTTCCTTAATACATATTTACACTGCAAAGAAATATGTCATTGTGACACGCCGAGATTATTATTTTTTGTATTCTCTACTACAGTAAATTAATTTACATAGGTTTGACATATGGAACGGTTATCTATAAATTACAATCAAGCTTTTATAGATAGATAAAGAAACATACAAAGTTTACATAATATGGCAAAAACTAATTTTCCACATCATATATTTTTGAAAATATTAATTAAGCTTTAACACAATTACAAACTAGACCATTGTTATACCTAGACCTAGGCCATTTATTTAAAGGTTTAAGAGTATACCTGATGATTTTTTAAATTCCTTATCTCTCACTAGAATTACAAAAAATTACGTGAATTGGTTTTTCTTTCAGGTGAAGTCGTTGTCGCAGCTGCACGGCGTGGAACTTCACGACAATCCGTGGGAGTGCGATTGCCGTCTTCGAGACCTCAAATTGTGGATCGAGACCAAAAATATACCTCATCCAATTTCACCCACCTGCCACTCCCCCCAAAGGCTCAGCGGTAAGTGAGGAATCTACCTTAAATTTCCTCATATTATTTAGGAAATAATATAATTATTATATACATATTGGCAACATAAAAAGGAGATCTTGATTTATTTCTGTGGAAATTTTTCTACAGCGAAAAATTACCAGTCAGTACTTTTCTCACTTGTCAAATTTGTAAGATTTGTAAAATCTTTAAAAAAAATCAAAATTATCGTTGGTATAAATGCCAACGAAAATTTGGTTAATGAATTATATTTTATAAATCATCCATCTGAGGAAGTTTATCAATTTTATGCAGGTCGTGCATTTAAAAACATTTTACGCACGGCGCGATTTGTACAATAATATTTTTGGCATCGTTGCACGCCACTGTTAATTATTTATTTTGCTAATCCTAAGGGTTAATAATACGTAAAGGTACGATCTTCTTGAAGAACTTCAATCGGATGTTTATAACTCGATACACTGTGTAAACCTTTGTAAAATTATTTGACAAACGTATATTTAAACATGCAAATGGTAACCAAGTTTTCTTGGACACAAATGGCTTATTTCAGTCAAAAATGGTTGCATGAAATTGGTAATTTGGTTACCTTGATGCACCTGCTTCAAACTGTATAAAAATAACTAATGCAGATTTTTGCCCATTTCTTAAACTCATTTAATGTCTTCATTATACTGCAACTTTCTCCACTTTCGTAATAATTACAAGGTTACACAAGAAGACTTTGTCATTCTGTGGACCCGCTTCGGACTAAAAAGTTGCAAAAGTTATTAGAACTTTCAAGGTTTGCCTATCTCAGGGAAATTTCACTGACTGCGAGGAATTTTATTTTTATTTAAGAGAGAAAGAAAACTTTGAGGGGATTAGTTTCGACAATTTGAGAGTAAAATGGAATGCAGTCGTCGGGAAAGTTGTTGCGGTCATTTCGAGATGCCAAAAACTTTTGTGAAATAGCACAGAATTTAAATTTATAAACTTACCAATTCTTTAAAGCCAAGAAAATGGATATTTTTAATGTATGCACGACACAAATTATTTAGAATAGAAAGAGAAATGAATGAAATTACTTTCCACGAATTTTCAAGCTAAGGATAAAAACCTTACTGAAAATAATTTCAAATATTTGATCAAATATTCACAGCCGTGTAAATTCGCTTTTTAATTTGTTACCTGAACTCAAATATTATACAATGACATGTGTACGTCTATTAAATATTTGTATTCGAGTGAACAAGTTTATTTTAGCAGAGCATGCAAAAATGCACTACAAATATTTTGTAGAATTTGGTTCTGTTAAAGAAACCAAAATTGTGAACGTTCAACTGTGTCGGGTAGCCTGATTCCGTGTCAAATAAATAAGCGGAGAGAAATCTCTTGAAATCTGGGCAAACACAACGATGGTTAAATTAGCATCATTACTTTTGCAGAAAGTCGAGAGTTTGTTCGATTCCTGCGATCGCATAACGTTTCTCCATTCGAAGAAAGCACACTCTTAACAATGCGGTAGCAAATCTTCACTATATTTCAGATGTCATACTAATTTAATCAACTTTGACAAAACAAAATATTAATTTAGGTCCATTGAGCTCTTATTAAATTAATCAAACCACAGGTTTCATACCACCTCTAAAACTTGGTTTTGCATAATGTCTCGTAGAATTATTTAGCGTGTCCCCATCGACCCGAGACTCGTTAGTTTGCCGTATCTGTCAGGGAATCAGCTTATGCAATTGTCCTCATGCAAAATAAACAGACGAAAAATATTTCGCGAGTCTGGGCCTCGTTGTGTAACGTTCTTAATGCAAAAGCGGATCCGCATTTTTATCCGGACTCATTTCATCTCGTAATTTCCTCGTCGTGCGAGTGATGGGTGAAAGTGAAGTGTTTTATTTATGGGAGCCAAAGCAGGGGAAATTTGTGATTTGCAGAATTCGACAACTTTTCCTCGTGAGGTTTGCGATCGGTGGGGCGAGAGGTGATCAAAGGCTTTGACGAGCGATGAGAGAGACAGCTTTTTCAAGTGTACCTTCCAACTTGCCTTCTGTTCTATCTTTAATTTCGCCGAGGTAACCAAATTCTGCTCCTATTTGAATCCACTCTGGGGACAAAGTGGAACCACAGAATATTCATTTTTAACTTTACAGGATGTGCGGGAATTGCGTCATTAATTTTAATAATAAAATGTAGCGACGTCTACCCGGTCACAGAATTTAAATATTTGACAACGTTATTTTCATAGAAGCGGACTTACATTGCCAACGTCTTTAAAAATCCGCATGAAAATTTAAAAAAAATTCTGACCAAAGCTGCGCAAAGTGAAAACAAATAGCAACCTGTCTTTTCAAATAACTATACTGGCATTTCAATTTTATCACTTTCGGCGTCAAATTGGAACTACGAAAAAAATGCCGTACTAGTTTTAATTCGTGTGTGACTTGGGCCGTATAATTTACATGACAAGGAGAGGTTATCCGTGAATCCTAATTCCCCTCAAACCGATCACATTATTAATGCACCGTCCTTGACCACATTAACTGAGAAATTCAAATTTGCACTGCGTCCCCACGTGGAGATGCAATCACTGAATGCACGACGAGTCAAAGAAGTGGAATTCCAATCCATGCATGAAACCCTTCTCCGTTTTAATTAAAGTAAATTGTGGCAGAAATCTGAAATGTGAGGACGCCATCGATTCATTCTCGTTCGGAGAAACATTCGCAACATGGAATTCGCTCAGGTTGACAAGAATAAACAGATTGGCAGATGAAGATCGGAGACAATAAATAAATGCACGCTTAGTAATTTGGTAGCTAAATGGTATACACGTGATTATTCATTTTGGAAATAATTTTTGTTGTTGTGCTTATGATAACTAACAAATTTTAATTTCGCGATAAGGAACTACTACCAAATCGGTATGGTCTTACATCACTACCGTCGAATGCCAGATTGTTACCGAATTTTTTAGAGTGCAGATAAAATCGAGATAGATTGATTGATTCGCAATTTTTCTCTGTACAACAAAAGTCACGTAGGAATCCGACAAACTGATCCGCATTCTGGTCACAGGCTTCATTTCGTGGAGGGAAAAACCTTGGCGGAGACTATTCTAGGAATCGGCCTGATTTACAAGTGTCCACCGATCTCACGGCGTGTATGCACGCTGATCGAAGGACGGAGACGAATTTGCCAAGGTTTTTTGCTCTCTTGGGAATTTGTGATTGCTTTTCTCCAAATCGTCGTTCAATCCGGTTGATTTTCTTGTTTCCAATAAAGGTTTGCTTAAAAGATTGGTTAAATCTTGTACGCAATTCACCGCAATTAATATGTTCTAGATTAATGGGAATTTGAGGTTTGGATGAGGCAGCAACCTCTCCCTTTTAGTTCTCTAATTAATTAATCATAATTACAATGTTTAAAATAGTATCTATTCCGTCTACGGATTTAAAACTTAATTACAATTAAGTAGTTCCCTACTTGCGTAATTGGGAATATACGATAGTAATACTTGTTCTCATCTTTATTGATCACCGTGAATGTTTAAAAGATTTCGACGAAATGATCTCTGCAAGGAAGGATGTCACTGTTTTCAAGTGGATCTTGTGGCCATGATATTGAGTAGAGTCATGATTCACGATGTGAAAGTTATGTCACGATCAGACAAGAAATGAACGCGGAAGAGCAATCGCGTTGCAAAAAACACACGATCTTCTCTCCACTCAAGGTATTTAGCAACCAGGGTTCCGTTCCTTCTCCCACAATTTTCGCAGCACTGGTGGGAAAAATTTAGACTTTGCAATACCGACAGAATTATTTTCGTATGAATCACAGTCAAGACCAAACAATAATTTTTATGCTTTTCTCATTAAAACCATCATGACATCTCTCATAATGCGACATTTTCTCGTTTTCCCCACGACAATAATACTGCTATTAATACAGTTCTTAAACCTTAAATTAGTAAGACATTTACGCCGAGTTTAGAACTGGGCCCGTAACGGCCGTAACGTCCAAGTGCCTGCCAGTTCGTGTTTTATTTCTTTTTAAACCTTGTCGAAACAATAAACAACTTAACAGGAATAGCAAATTTATGGAAGGAGTAGAATTCATGTTCATAATTGATAGTTCTAATTTCTAATTGGTATTAAATGAGGTCAATCTGGCTATTTTTCGCAAGTAATCTTTTACCATGACAACCTAAGATGCTCAAAAATAGCACTAAAACGCACGTTATTACACGTAGTTTTTTTCCAAAACTCATTTTTGGCAAACAAGTCTTTTTTATACAATAATGTTACAAAACTTATGGCGCTACAAACAAACATAGCTGTGAATTGTCTGAAAACTGATATTCCAGATTTTTAATAATTTGAAAAGTATGAATAGAAAAAAGTATGGAGAAAGTGGAGATGAGAATTAATGAAATGTCGGATTTCGAGTGGGATGATAAAACTTGTTAGATTATTTATCTCCGCTGTCTGCTCATCCCTCGAATTCAAGGATATTTACCGCTTCACAAATCAAACACGTGTCGTAAATCATGATTGAGAGATGAAAGCTGGATAACGCGGAGAGATGTTCGTGCAAGCAAGGAAAACACCTTGAGAGACCAGTTTTACAAGATGATGAACAAGGTTTCCTGCACTCTAAATAATTCAGTGAAAAATTTCTACCGAATTGTCACAGTTGCTAATAATTTTCGGTGCAGTCAAAATTTGTTTTTTTAAACCTTCTAATTTCAGGCCGGTTTGGAAATTGATATTTCCATGAAAATTGTGTTGGTGAATTTAAACTGCGCGTGACCTATTATAGACAATTAGGTTATCCAATTTTGATCTCATATTTTTAAGAGTGTCGGACGTAGTGGGAGTGAAGCAGGACGCACGTTTTTCCCCATTTTGATGAAAAAGTCATTTCATTTCTTTAAAAGCCTCGAACTCTTGAGTGTTTGAGAGCGACTTTCCCCTTTCGGCTTTCTCCCCGTTTTATTTTCTTTGAAATACACTCACAAGTATAAAATACGACTTTTAAGGGAAAAAACGACGTTCACATATTTCTTATACTTTAGCCGAGTTCAAGGGCATATTTTGTGAAGAAGGAAGATCAAATTTATGTTGCCAATTTATTTGCATGGAAATTTATTCATGTTGTAAAATGCTGAAAATATTGTTTTTATTTTTCTTCTGCCAGGGCGAAGATTTTCGGAGCTGCCCGTGTCGGAGTTTGCCTGCCCGCCGCGGATCGTGTGGGAGGGTGGGGGCGGGGGTGGGGTGCGACAGGTGGGCGTGGTCGAGGGCGACAACGCCACCTTCGACTGCGCCTTCGAGGCCGTGCCAAGCCCCGTCGTGCGATGGTATCTCTTCGGTCGCCCAATCCTCAACAACACGATTCTCTCCTTCTCCAGGAAATTCATCATTTTCGAGGTGAGCCGAGTTTTTGAGGGTTTTAATCCTTTGGGTTTTGTATTTAAATATCTGTAAGGTAAGATCAATTTTGTGATCAACTAAACCGTAGAATTTGTATCTACATAAATGCAAATGCCCGATAGAATATTTAGAAAATATCAATTTGACACTTAAATTGTACAAGATTTAGAAATCTGTCAATTTAATGTATTTAATATCCCAATCAGTTCAATCTACACGATACATAATTGCGAATTCGACTTCATGACGATGCTTCTTAGCAAATATTTATGCATGAATCTGCCTAAAGCCGAGATCATTTTCTCCTCAGATAGACACGACTCAAGTCCCTGGTTATAACCGAATTCGCGCGTTGAAACTGTACCGGTGCACTAATTTGATCCCGAATTCTGCACACCTACCGAAGATTTGATTTTTGATTCGATTTCACGACTTGGGAAAAATGAGGTGCATGTGCCTTCTGCTCACACGACCCGTGCTGGCTGCGATGTCGAGTGTGCAATCAGCGGAAGTTAAATGACGCAAAGGGAGAAAGTCTAGCCTTGAGAGAAAGAGGTGAAAACGGTGAAAAGATCGACGTGTTAAATTCTGAAGATCTCTCATTTTTTAGAAACTATTTCTCTTCCCGAGTTGAAGTCGAAATGAAGTGAAAGTCAATTTCCACTTTGATTCCGGAGTCATGTTAAGAGTTCTGAGGACATGGATCAAACTCAAGTGGGCTGAAATTATTGAGGAGAAATTTTTTAATCTGGAAAATAGTAGACAAGATTTTATACAAGTTTGGTAGTAGCTAGCTGGTGGTAGAACTGATTTCAGTTGGTCACCCATCAATGGCATCAATTGAGTAACAGATTGCATTTCAATTCACATCTTATAATTTTGGTAGAAATTAAAATTTTCTATCTCGTTCGCAAAACATCATTCAAACGAAATTCAAAATTATTACCTACTCTCATAAATTTTGAATAGGTTGTAATTTTTTATCGAATTACTTTCAGCGTACTTTTTTCATAAATAATACGTAATTTTTCCGAAAATGACTTTGATTCTGCTCTATTTCTAGGAAAACTGGAAAAGCAGTTTGGTGCTAACCAACACGAATTTGAAGGATGGCGGCGACTTTTTCTGCGTCGTGGAAAACTCGGCGGGTTTTGTGGAGGCTAACTTTTCCTTAGAGATTCTCCCGCTCCCCCCGTACCAAAATATTTTGGATACGTCGCACATCGTCGTCGTAGTTTTGGCAGTTGTCACCATCCTCATCATGCTCGCCATAGGAATCGGAGTGTTCCTCTGGTAAGACAAAATTTTTAAAATTTTCGAATTTTTTATTTTAAAAAAACCCTAATTTGTGTCTTGGTTTGCAGGTACCGATGGCGTTTGGCGAAACAAAGGGCAGCCCAGAGTTACAAGGGGAATGGGCACGGTCCTCCGGGTGGCGAGTTGTTGACACCGGTGAAGCCACCGCGAATCAGCTACGACTATGAAATAAATTCGGGTTCCCTCGTCCACCAAAATGGGTTCAAAACCCACCACGCCCATCACGGCAAAGGCGGCGGCGGAGACTCGAACACCGCGGATAATCCAGACCTCATTTTGGAGACTAATAACACTTCCAATTATCAGGTAATAAAGCGGAACACAAATCTCAAAGTTACCAAGTTACTGAAATTTCGACAAAAATGGTATCCTCGTGACTTTCGTTACATTTATTTTCATTGGGGGTTAAAACGTAAGAGTAATGACAAGGGCTGAGTTTTTTAATCTGCATAATATGATACTCAAAACAACCCAATGGTATACCAGAAATATACAAACAATTATTTTATTCGACCACTTTCCAAAAATCCCTCTTTGAATTCGTAGCTTTACAATTTACGAAATTTAGGAAAAAACGCACTCACTTATGTAATTTTCTCAAGTTCTTTAAATAAAGTGTTTCTCAGTGAAATATTATTACTTTTACGTGGATTCTATTTCACGTAACTTTTCTACTCCTCCATTAAGAGAAATGTAAAGAGAAATTGGATATTCTTCTTTCAACCTACGCAAAGGCTGAGGTCGCCTTTAAGAGAGATTTTTCCGAAATGAAAGTCATATTTCAAAACAAAAAATATTTCGCTATCTGCAAACACACGAATGGATAATCTCGTCTGACAGGACGGCCTCCACTTTCACCAAACCTCGTGTTTACATTCCGTCTTCTCCTTCTTCTTCTTAAGCCTTGGGAAAAACAGGATAAAATCGCGTGTTTAGAGCGAGATAACGTGAAACACGGTAAAACAGCTGGTAGAAAAATACCCAACGAAATGTTTCCTTATTCTCGAGAAAAGCTGAGATAATCTCGTGTCCTGGTTTAGGGAAAATGCTTGTTTTCTTAGCTAGGTCAATTACTACGAGCCAATTCACTCGGGTATTTGTAACCCAGTGAACTGTGTAATTTTTCTAAAATTTGTGTACAACTTGCACAAAATAATTTTTCTGTGGTGGGTTCTGTTATTAGACTTTGTTTTTCTGTCAATCTACTTTGTCTTAATTTTGTAAAAAAAGATTCATGGTTAGAAAGGTAACGTGAGTGGCCACCTTTCCAGGAAATAACACGTCCTGAAATTCCTAAACTGAGTGCACACCGAAAGCGGAAATTAGAAACAAAGCTTTTTGTACTGGTTGAACTTATCGGGCGAGTTCATCGAGTTTGTTTTACTTTCTCCGCCGTCACCCTCGAGTTAAAATTCTACTTTGTTTCCCTCCTCGAACATTTCGTAGGCTGCGTCTGATTTCCTTTTGGAGGAGAAAAGTCAAGTGGTCGGGTGACATTGATTCATCGCGAAACAAAATGTGAACGATGGGTCGACTTACATTTCACTCTACGAGACGCGAGGGTTTTGTATTTCCTTGCCCACAGGCAAGAAATTAAAAAGTGGTCACAAATTGTATACATCGGATCAGAAATTATGAAAACCACCTATAGAACAGCACTGAATCTTTTCTAAAATTTATTACGCTGTCAATAATTCTAATATTTCCCAGATTTCATTATTAATGTTACCTTAAAATTTAAATGCAATAAGTCAATTAGGTGAATTGGATTTACGCGAGTTCTTCATACCTGACTTTGTTTTTATCCCAGTGTACATAGAATTTCCATTTCCCAATTTCCCCACTGGGAATCATCACTCTGACAAATTCTACTGTAAACCCTGGTTAAAAATAAAGCGGACATTTTATAGTTTGAGTTTGTCTCAAATATAATTCCAATTTGGGTTTCGAGATAAGAAAAAAGAAATTTATAATTTAATCGAATCGTGTTCCCAAGAAATGTCGATTCCGGGAATCCGACGCTTTCTCCAATATTTGATCTGCTTTCACCGAGAAGATTGGATTCATATTCCGGGAAGAATTTGTGGATTCTTCGTACCTGGAACAAAGTGTGTAAATAAATGCGGGAAATTTGAGTGGATTGCTAATCTGGACACAAGGTCAGGCTAGGTCAACATCGGCCGTGTCGCCCAAATTTGTGGAGAAAGTCGTCGCGAGTGATTATGAATTTCCTTTGGCCACTCGTTTCCCTCGTCGGATTTGTTTGCTTGGTTTTGTAGAATTTGGTTTAGGGAAAAGTGGAGGATGTTGAAATGGGGAAAGTAATGAAATGGTTGGGACGACTCGAATCTAAATTGGATGATGATGGTGATGGTGATGGATGAGCTTTTCGCCCCACTTATTCACCACTCGCGACACGAACACGCCAGCAAAAGAGTCGAAAAGGCGGAGGGAAAACCGATACGAAATCCGAACAATTCCATCCTTCAAACTTATTCCGCTCAACGTAAACACGACCAAAGCCATTGAGCAGCCAAAGCAGTGGGAGAAAGCAGAATGAAAATCCGATTTGTTCAACTCAAGGCAAACCTTGAGCAAACAAAAGTCGTGGCGAAAGTCCTTTCGGTCCTGCCATGCTTTAAAAGGGAAGAAAAGGAATAAAGGATGCAAAGGCAAAGTTTCTGTAGAATTTTGAAATTGATGGATTTAAAATTTCGAGAAGCATCAACTAAAATTAATGTAGAATTTTGGGACAGAAAAACCTGGGAAAGGCAATGAAATTTTGATCTTTTTAATTTTATTTAAGAAGTTTAAACTAAAATTAAAATTGAAATTTGATGTTGAATGCGGTAGATAAAAGCATTTCGAGCGACCCTATTTTCGGTTAAAATAAGGAATGTGAACCCATAATATGAGACTTCATTATTCTTTGTAATATATATCAATATTTATTTTTTCGAAAAAAATCACAAAATTTTGATGACTATAATTATGATCTACTTTACTTTTGAACTTTAGGAGCACGGGGGTCTTGGAGGGGAGGAGGAGAGCAACAATTCAGAGCTGAACTGGGAGCAGGCGAGCCTGAGTTACCGCAATCTTGGCTACGCGACGGAATACCCGACCGACTACGGGCTCCCAATTATCCACGAAAACTCCGTCTACAGCGACGACACCCACTCCACCGCTTTCTACCCCCTCCCGCCACACCCCAACGGCGCCATCCCCCACAATGTCAGCTTGCCCCTCAGCAACGGGTGCTCCTCAACCGTCATGTCCGGCGTCTGGAACAAGAACAAGGTTGGCGCAAGGATCACAGCGCCCAACGCGAGAGACTCGCCTGACGAAGGGTATCAGGAAGGCTACGTCGGAACGGACGTGTAACAAACGGTGGCAAATATGCTAATTTAATATATAAGCCAGAATATATGTAGTTCCTCCCTTGAGAAGAAGGAGAGGAGTCAAAAGTGTGTGCTAATTAAGTTAGGATTTCTTTTTCGGGGAGAAAGTGAAGAAATCAAAGTGATGTTTAAATTTTATGGGACGAATGGAATCTGGAAGAAATATATTTTGAAGTGGATTTTGAAACCTGGGAGCTTGAAAATAATAAGGTAAGCAATTTGAAATTATGTTTTAACACGTTAATATTTAAGTCCGGGAATTTATGAGTATCAATTATTTTATTATTTTATAGTAGTAACAAGTTTTCAAAATTAGTGTATCCATTTTATGCATTTTGTAAAGTTATAGAAATTTTTGGAATTTCGTATTTTCTCGATCGTACGGATTTTTACCAGATCTCATATTTTCCCTACATACATATTCGAGATCTTTCTCCCGAAATTGAGTCCAGTGCCGTCCACCTAATTTTTAAAAGCCCAGAGACTTTCTCCGTTTCATTCATGGCACGATTTTTTCGAACGAAACTGGAATAAGAAAGCAGACGAGGAGGGTTTTTTTGCTGTTTGAGTGGAGAGGATTTTCTCAAGAGTTTGTTATCCGGCCTGTTTTTTCTCCCGTTGAATCCAACTGCGGCCGCATCAGAAAAACAGGGAGGCGATACGTAACAATGGGGGCGAGATCTGTAAACGAGATGGTATTGCTATTCTGCGCGGCTGTGACGTGACGTGACGGCGACATGGTGCATCAGAGATGAAAGAAAAAGCTGCACTCTGGGCGGAATAAAGGAAAGTGCATTTCTCATCAAATAGAAATGACAAACAACGAAAAGGATAAGAACGACGAGAGAAAGTTTATCCGAGAAAATCCATATTTAGGAAAATATGGCGTTAAGAAAGTTTATAATTTTGCAAAAACTAAATCTTCACATTCCTTCATCCGTCTCCCAATACGCTGCAAACAATCCACGAACAAATGTTATTACACCATCGCCAAATTTTGGTAATATATTATTATAACACGCAAACTATATTTTGTGACCTAGTTGGTTTTAATTTATTCGGACAAATCGTCGTTCGCTGATCGGACACAAAGTTGAATTTCTTGGTTATTTGGTATTGAATTTCTCACCAACGACGATTAATCGAATGTTATAGGCTTGTCAAATCGGTTTAATCATACATATTTGCAACCCTGTAATAGATTCGAACATCATTATTTACAGTGGAATTCGAGACACTTGCTCCACTCGGATGAAAGTCTAAATTTAGGAAAAAATATGGTGTCGAGAAAGTTTTAATACTGCAAGGGCGAAGGGAATATCGCTATTTTCATATTGTGTCTCATTTCTCCAAATAGTTCTAAACTTTTGTTTCGCTTTCTATCATTTTTCTCTATTTTTCCGTCGTCATTGTTTTCCACGGTTGAGATGTCAATCGTGGATCGAATTGAGTTTCAGCCCTCGGAGCCTGTTGAAGAATTGAGTGAAAGGAGGCGTATGAATTTCTTCACCTTATTTACTCTCACCATCGGTGCACGTCTAACTCTCGCCCGACTGCCTCTATCCCTCGCTCCTTCCTTCTGTAGTTTCGGACTGCTTTCCATGTTCATGGGCAACGGGGGAAGGAAGTAAGTAGACCAACGGTTTATTTCTGGGAGGATTGGGCTGATACAGCGGACGGAGGCTGACAAAAGGAGCAGAGTTACACAACAAGAAAGACCTATTTCCCAGTGAGGCGAAAAAATTGGACCTTCTCCTATTTTTCTCAATCATTCCTTCATTCAGGTATATACGAGTGGGAAGAAGAACGAATTTCGGGTGCAGCAGGAATGATTTACATTTCGTATCGTGAAATAGAGAACGGATCGATCCATTGACGGATGGGAAGAAAATGCAAATCTTATTTGTGGTAAAAGAGGCAGAGAAAGTTGATGTTTTGGTTTTGCAACATAAATGCAAATATTTCGACCCTGGGAATATATATTTATTTGAATAATTTGGGAATATATATTTCGACACTAAATTAGAATTATCATTTAATGATTTTGACCTTGCAACTAATTTCGAATTGATACAATATACAAGACCTAATCAAAAATTGATAATTATTTTTTTGTCGAACGAATGCAATTTTAATGATGAAAATTGAAACATTCAATTTGAAAAGCTTGAGATCAAACATGATTGTCACAGTTTTTCTAGCTCTTTGATTAATATGAAATATTACTAACTATTTTTTAAGAAAAGATGGCTTCGAAATGTAGCAAAAATTATCGCATAATATGTACAGCCAAGTCGACAGCGTATCAAATTGCGCACCTTGTGATGAAAGGTTGCTCAACTTTCTCTCCTTCCGTGGCGAGACTTTCACTGTCTTGAATCCCATCCAAATCGCAAGTTTGGCCATTTTCCAGATTTGCAATTCACTTCCTGGCCAACGAGCTAGGTATAAACTCGGGCAGTTTGCAGAATGGGCCGTGTTCATAATGGGCAAAGGTGAAAGCAGGCGAAAGTGAATGTTTAGCAGAATGGGCGACATTTCTGGTACGACTATTTTACTTCACATATGACACACATTTCTTCCTCCGCACACAATGCACCGCGTTTCCGACCGAGTTCACTTTACTGCACATTTCTCATAAGGCTAGTGAAACTCGACTTTCTCCAAGATTACCCCCGGCACCTCTGCCAAACTTACCGGCATGAATGAACTTTGGCCCGTTTCCTGCTAGTAAAATGTGAATTATTCTCCCATTTTTGCGCAAACTTTTACCTGGCGAGAGTAGGAGAGAAGGACAGCACTTTGATGATGGGATTGGATCGAGCAATCATTTATAGATTTTGCATCAAACAAAGTTTCCGATCAAAGCAAACTAATTAAGCTTGCATCACACGAGCGCAAATAAAACTTTGCAAGCAGGCTCTCGTTGGTGTCAGTGCACTCTAAATATTTTGGCAAAAATTCTACATGTATAGCAAAAGTATGTGTTCAAATTGTGCATGTGCCTAGTTACAACCATTCTGGTTCTACCTAACCTAACCTAACCTAACCATGATTTCCAAGGTCTATCTGGCCTCTATTTTTTGCAATTATATATTTACCTATATTACCTGAAATGTTATTGCAGCATAAATATGACAAGATTTAAATTATTAAATTTGACTTTATAAAGGTGCACTGAAAATGAACGTCAACTTCCACATTCATTATTCACATAAATCTATTTAAAGGGCGAGAGTCCCATCCCAATCTCTATTTCGTTGCCATATTTTTTAGCGTGTTTCTTTTTCTTGGAAGCATTTGCTTGCTCCACTTTTTGGCTGAAAGTTTGATAAGCGAGGAATATTAGTTCCAGTCATCGGTTTCTGGACTCATTTTGCTTCCTCATTTCCACGACAGGTAATTAATGCTGGAGAGAAAATCAGTACTTTGGGAAATTTTGGGCCCCATAACGGAGAGAGGATCGATTTTCTGGAAATAATGAAAATTGGATACGTATCGGGAGACGGGATTTTGATGACTGGGAGGAAACAAGAGCGACACAAAAGAGCGATGACAGTGCAACGGTGTTATTAATCTAGAGAAGATAATAGCACACGCTTAAAAATTATTACCCTAAAAGGAGTAAAATATAACTACATATAAACGTAAAAGTGACTTTACCCGATTTGGGGTATACAGCCACCACGCAGCAACAAAGTAACGGTAGTTACCCTTTGCAAATAGCCATTTACCCTATTCTCGTCTTGGTGCTAACCCTGGTTGGGGTTACTGTTCTAACCCCATATTAAGTAAAATGAATAATGGTCGCGGTATTTAGTGTCTCAATAAAATGAATGCGGTATTTGTAAATATCCTCATTAGCATATTTTTATTTCAATTAAATCCACTTGCACTCTTTAAATCACAATTATAAAACAACCAAAAATAATATGAAATAATCGCCTTTGATAACCTATGTACATATTTAAAGTGACCGGAGAGTAATGGTAATTTAGTGAAGGAATTTTTGCATTGAAAACATACGTAAATAGTGCCATTTTGCTACTTCTGAATTCCTTCAAAAGTTTCGTATTGGTACAATTGTTGCCAAATTTTATTCCGCGTCGCGTCGTCCGTTGCATTTTCTATTTTACAGAATAAAATAAAATGAAATGAGCAAAGTGTAAGTTATGGACAATTGTAGATAAACTTACCCTTGAAAGTATCAAAACAATAATCCAGCCCACATTGCGATAGTAGTCGAGTATTTTCTTCCATATCTAGTACAGTTAGTGTGGAATATTTCACGAGCTTCAACTAATTAATTATTAGGCAAATTAATTAATGTATACTTTAGTTTTAATTCGCAATCGGGCACTCACTCTTGTTACAACAGCGAGGGAAAAGTTGAGCGTGGACTAAGCTTTTTTTTGGCGGGACAAAGTACCCGGAATGTAGTAAATGCTAGTACAGTCTGACCCTGATTGGTGTAACGTCTAACTTATTTTAAAGTAATATACCGACTTAACTAAAATTATGGCTAAATGATGCATAACTAAAATTGAAGTTATCCATTTAACGCTAAATTTAGTCAATGTTACTTTATATATAGTTGTCTACCAGTTCACTTCTTGCAAAGTCGGGAACATTTTTAAGCGTGCAGCAAGATATTACATTGTCAACTTTGCAAGGGCTACTGGCCATTTATGCAATAAAGACATACATACATATTACATTGTCAACAGGGTTTCAATTTTTCGGAAAATTGAGAAATTTTTCATTACTCGTTCACCTTTTTCAAAATGATTTGCAAATTTTTAAATTAATTTTTTTGACAATGATTTTTCATAAATTATTTGCTCATTTAACAAAAATTAAATTATTTTTTCATAGAATGCGTCTTTGTATTGGTAACCGGAAAAAATCACCTGGAAAAAATCACCTCGGAAAATATCTCCCGGAAAGAATCTCAAATGGAAATAATCCCCTATGAAAGAATCTCCTATGGAAAAAATCACCAATGGACAAAATCACCTCGGAAAAAATCCCCAAATTAATAAATTATAGATTCACTAAATCTATATTATTTTTAGTAAATTTTACTTCAAATAATGTACTCTTGTTTTTCTCTCTACATACATATTTGTATGTTTATACATACTTTTAATCTTAAGCTCGATGGTTTTTGAATAACTTCTATCATATGAGTGAAGAGGAACCACAAGATA